TGCCCAAGAATGACCTTGAACTTCTGATCCTTCTGCCTCTACCTCCTGAATTCTGGGGTTACAGGCCAGTGCCACTAAACCCAGTTTTAGGTGGTGGGGATGGAATCCAGGGCCTCACGCAGGATACCTAAGCCCTCTGCCCGATGAGCTGGGTTTCCGGCTCAAGTTGCTCTAAACAATTTACTGTTATTGTCTGTGTGTACACATGTATGTTGTGTATGTGTGAATGTGGGCACCCCTGTGCCATAGTGCATATGTGGAAGTCAGAAGACAACACTTTTTTTTTTTTTCTGCTATAGACTCTGGTGACCAAGCTCAGGTTCTCAGGCTTGAGTGGCAAGTCTTTTGATCTTGCTGGCCCACATGGTTATTGTTGTTTTTCGTTTTTCCTAATAGGAGTGTGTGTGTGTGTGTGTGTGTGTGTGTGTGTGTAGGTACCCTTAGAGGCCCAAAGAGAATGCCAGATCCTCCATAGCTGGAGTTAGAGGTGGTGTTGAGCTGTCCAGTATGGGTGCTGGGAACCAAACTCAAGTCCTCTGCGAGAGCTCTTACCCACAGAGCCATCTCTCTGGCCCCCCCTAGTTTGAATACTCAATGCCCCCCCCAGGGGCCCATGTTTTAAATACTTGGTCTCCAGGGATGGGTTTTTGGAAGGCAGTGGACCCTTCAAGAAGTGGAGTCTAGTGAGAGACCCTTAGGTCACTGAAGGGGACTGGGGGCCCCTGGCCCCCTGTGCTCTCTGCTCTGCTTCCAGGCCGCAGAATGAATAGTTTTGCTGCAGCTACACTCTTACCATGAAGGCTATGTCACCAGCCAAAGCAAAGGGCTTTAAAGTGAACCAAAATAACCCTTTTTCTCTTCCTAAGTTACCTATCTTGGTATTTTGTTACCATGATAGAGAGCCGACTAATACAAGGGCTCTGTTTCTCAGAGGCTCTAACATGAGCCAAGGAATATTTCTGTCTATTCTGGGAGTTTGTGTTAAAACTAGCCCTTAACAAAGCCACGCCACTTAGGCAAAGAGACAACCTTCCTGCTCGAGGGTGGCACGTACCCATAGTCCTACCTCTTCTGGCGCCTCTCCTGAGTCCAGGTGCTTGGGTTCAGGCTTGGCAACGTTGGAGGGAGAAAGAGCCCAAATAACTGTGTTTTGGATGGAGTTGCTCCCCATATTGATTCAGATGCCCCCTCCACCCTGTTGTAAAGCTTTGGCATTCTCCATTGCCCAAACTCATCAGAAAATGACTGCTTTATGCCCACGTTGACTGTTTGCATTTCTTCCAATGGCCACATCTAGAAAGATTTGTGGTTTAATTTTCTGTATCTTCGCATTCTCTTGCTTCTTTCTTTTCAACAGTCTTGGCCCTAAACACATGGCTGATGTGTTTTGCTACAGACATCACTCATCTGAAGCTGTTGAAACACGCTCCCTAGTTTTATTTCATTCTTAAGAATTTGCCAAACATTGGCTGTATCTTCCTGTGTTACGTTCCAGCTTAAGCTTTTGGCAGGGGAGTGTTTTGTATCTCTCGATACCGCTCATGCTAACACTGCTCTTTCGAGTGAATTCCTCCCATTTTTCCTCTTTATTTTTCTTTTGTCAATTTCAGAGTAAACTCGGATTTTACTGAAATAGTGTACCACCTTGGTTTCCCGAATAACTAAAAAACTTACAGGATTATTTTTAAAAATTACGATTCTTTATTCTGTGGGGCATGGGGAGCACACTTGAGCCATGGTGTGTGTGTGTGTGTGTGTGTGTGTGTGTGTGTGTGTGTGTGTGTGTGTGTGTGTGTAGATCAGAGAACAACTTTTGGGAGTTAGTAATCTCCCTCCACCATGAGGGTTCTGGGGCTGAAACTCAAGTCTTCAGTCTTGGCAGCAAACAGTTTTAACCTGCTGAGCTAACTCAACAGCCCAGCTTTTGCTATGATTAATAGATAATTGAAATGTCTTTAATTTGTTCTCCGTATTTTCTGTCACTATTGCTACATTCTTAGCCTTTATGAGGTGTGTGTGTTTGTGTGTGCGTGCGCATGCGCACGCAAAGGTGTGCTCACCTGTACACAAGCGTGGAGGTCAAAGGTCAGCTTTGAGTGTCTTCCTCTAGTGTCCTCCATGTTTCTTTATGAGTGTCTTGACAGATACTGTGGTAGTTTGAATGTAATCGGCCCCCGTAACCTCACAGGGAGCGGCATTGTTAGGAGGTGGGGCTTTGTTGGAGTAGATATGGCTCTGTTGGAGGAAGTGTGTCATTGTGGGGGTGGGCTTTGAGGTTTCCTGTGCTCAAGATACTACCTAGTGTCTCAGTTGACTTCCTATGGCCTACATATCAAGATATAACCAGCACCACATCTGTCTGCATGCCTCCGTGTTCCCGTCACGATGATAATGGACTGACTGAACCTCTGAAACTGTGAGCAAGCCACCCCAATTATATGTTTTCTTTGTAAGAGTTGCTGTGGTCCTGGTGTCTCACCACAGCAATAGAAACCCTGAGACAGAAGCCTGCCTGTGGTTATTATCTAAAGGGTCAAGATTTAATTACAAGGCAGGTGTGGAGGTGCCTGCCCATCATCCCAGCACTTGGGAGGCGGAGGCAGGAAGATCAGGAATTCAAAGTCATTTTCAGCTACACATTGAGTTCAAGGTCAGTGTATTGGTAATTTTTCTATTGCCGAGATAAAACATCATGACAAAGGCAATGTATAGAGAGAAGGGTTTATTTGGGTGTGTGGGTCCAGAGATGTAAGAGTCCATCCCAGTGGGGGAGGCATGGCAACAGGTAGGCATGATGGCTGGAGCAGCAAGCTAAGAGCTTATATTTTGAACTGCAAGCATGAAGGAGAGAGAGAGAGAGAGAGAGAGAGAGAGAGAGAGAGAGAGAGAACGAGAACTAACTGAGAACTACTTGAGGCTTTGAAACCTCAAAGCCTGCTCCCATTGACATACATTGTGCTTCCTCCATCAAAGACCACACCTCCTCTACCTCCCAAACAGCACCACCAACTGGGGAGCCAAGCCAAGCATCTGAGCCTATGGGGGAGATTCTCATTCAAGCTACCACAGACAGCTAGGCTACATGAGACCCTGTCTCAACAAACCTCCCCTCAAAAAATGATGAGTCCTAGAAAATGGAGCTGTCTTCTAGGTCAGACCCAGTGGTATGGGTCTTGTAATCCCAGCTGTTCAGCTAGGTTGAAGCAGGAGGACTGCAAATTCAAAGCCAGATTAGCAATTCATTGAGACTTTGTGTCTAAATAAATAAATAAATAAATAAATAAATAAATAACTGACTTTGCCTCCGGGCAGTGGTGGTGCCTGCCTTTAATCCCAGCACTTAGGAGGCAACGGTAGGCAGAGCTCTGTGAGTTTAAGGTCAGCCTGGTCTACAATGAAGAGTTCCAGGATAGCCAGAGCTGTTACACAGAGAAACCCTGTCTCAACAAACAAACAAACAAACAAAAAGCAAAAAAATGAGGGCTTGCTGAGGGAGGAGGGGGATTAGAGAGTTGGCTCAGCTGTTAAAGAGTGCTCACTGCTCTTGCAGAGGACCTGGGTTTGGTTACCAGCACCCACATCAGGCAGCTCACAACCACCTATAACTCCAGTTCCAGGGGCTCTGTTGCCCTCTTCTGGCCTCCAAGGGCACTTGCACACATGTGGTGCACATAAACACATGTGTGTGTGTGTGTGTATTCTTTGTTTTTTGAGACAGGATTTCTCTGTGTAGCCCTGGCTGTTCTAGAACTCACTCTGTAGACCAGGCTGTCCTTGAACTCAGATCTGCCTGCTTCCGCCTCTCAAATGCTGGGATTAAAGGTGTGTGCCACCACTGCCTAGCATAAATAGTACATTTTTTAAAGGGCTTGGGTTGTAGCTCAGAGATAGAGCTCTTGCCTAGCATGTGTGAGGCCCAGTGTTCAATCCCCACTACTTAAAAAATTAAAGCAATAAATAAAATGTGTTAAAAGATGTCTAGTTGGGGTGTGTGTGTGTGTGTGTGTGTGTGTGTATTCTGGGATGCTGCAATACATGCAGTTTGGGTCCTAGAAACATGACTTGGGTTGGTGATGGAATGAAGAAAGGATAGAGACATACAGACCCATGTCACAAGCTGGGGTCAGGTGACTGTGTGCTCTGTTGGAGCCATATTAACTACCACTGCAACCTGGAACCTTAGTGTATTTATTGTGTACAGCGCAGGGGGAGGGTTGGCGAGGCTCAATAGAAGGTCTCTGTATGGGAGAAGTCTCAGGCTGTAACATCCTGGAGGAGAAAGACTCAACAGCTAACTTTTGTACACCCTCATCACTTGCTCTCTCTCTCTCTCTCTCTCTCTCTCTCTCTCTCTCTCTCTCTCTCTCTCACACACACACACACACACACACACACACACACACACACACACGCCCCACTGAGGAAAACTTTGCCTCCCTCTGAGCCTAGCCCACATGGGAAATAGCTTTGACAATTTCCCATGGGTCCAAGGCCTTTGAGTCCTTGGGGTCCTTGGTATGGTCCTGCCCATGGGAACAACACAGATCACTCAGGACTTCCCTCACTCGAGGCTTTCTCTACTCCCTACTCTGGGATAATAGTTGATAGAACACATCAGCAAGTAAGAGTAATTTATGTTTGACAATGACTAGAATAAATCACTTTTTTGCTTTGTTCTTTTTTGTGTGTGTTTTTGAGACAAAATTTCTCTGTGTAACCACCCTTGCTGTCCTGGATCTCACTCTGTAGACTAGGCTAGCCTCAAACTCATAGAGATCTGCCTGTGTCTGCCTCCCAGGAGCTGGAATTAAAGGCATACACCACATCACTCAGAGATAAATAACTTTTATTATTAATAAAATATTTTATGGGCAAATAAATTTCTAAAGCTCCCAAGTTATAAAGAGAATCTAGTAGAGAATCAGGACATTTGGGCAATAAGAATTTGTTTAGGAATCCTGAGAGGTTGGTATAGGTTTTCATTTCATGTGAACATTGGGGTTTAGAAAATTTTATCAAACACGGTCCTTAATCTCACTGAGGGTTCCATCAATGTTTGTGAAAAAGAGTATAGTATTATTGTATCTTTATTTTTATTCTTATTCATGTGCATGTATGTGTCCACAGGGTCCACAGGGGCCAGAAGAGAGCATCAGATTCCCCGGAGCTGGAGTTACAATTGACTGCGAACTACCCAACATGGGTTTTGGGAACCAAACTCAGGGCCTCTGGTATGTGTTCTCAATTGCTGAGTCATCGCTCAGGTCCTCTGGTAGAGTAGTATGTGTTCTCAACTGCTGAGGCATCGCTCAGGTCCTCTGGTAGAGTAGTATGTGTTCTCAACTGCTGAGGCATCACTCAGGTCCTCTGGTAGAGTAGTATGTCATCTCAACTGCTGAGGCATCACTCAGGTCCTCTGGTAGAGTAGTATGTCATCTCAACTGCTGAGGCATCACTCAGGTCCTCTGGTAGAGTAGTATGTGTTCTCAACTGCTGAGGCATCACTCAGGTCCTCTGGTAGAGTAGTATGTCATCTCAACTGCTGAGGCATCACTCAGGTCCTCTGGAAGAGTAGTATGTCATCTCAACTGCTGAGGCATCACTCAGGTCCTCTGGAAGAGTAGTATGTCATCTCAACTGCTGAGGCATCACTCAGGTCCTCTGGTAGAGTAGTATGTGTTCTCAACTGCTGAGGCATCACTCAGGTCCTCTGGAAGAGTAGTATGTGTTCTCAACTGCTGAGGCATCTCTCCAGCCTCTAGTCTTAGCATATCTTGTCCGTGGCTCTCACCATAGGGAACCCAGCAAATTGTTTAAGAATAGGGACTCTACAGTAAACAGTGGTTTCAAGTTGAAGCTACCCAGTTACTAGCTAAATAATTGTGGGCCTGTTTGGGAACCTCTCTGATAACAGGCACGTGTGAGTAAATATTTTTATTCACTAATGGATTCTTGTGGCCTTACACGGTGTCTATTGTACAATAGGAACTTGGTATATTTTAATAACAAATGCATAATTATTAATACATAGCCAGTGCTCATTAAATAAGATGTTAAAACAAGTAGGCAAAAGAGTTCATTGGTCTCAGAATACTGGATGCGCTTCATATTCATATGGTCTATATTGTTTTTTCTAACCTCTTCATTATGCAGGACATTTGTCGCAGAGAAACCACAGTGCTGTGCTGGATGTGATGCAGCAAGAATAAGGATATGTATGCTCTGAACCTTGCCCTCAAAGACTTGATAATTTTCTAGTGTTAGACAACATAAACAGCAATAACTATAATTATAGGCAGTGCTAGAATTATATTAAACTGTATATTAAACACCTTATAAATTATGCAGTGCATATTTTTGAATTCAGAAGCAGGAGATACTGCTAGATGCAGTCACATAAAAATAGACACAGTAGGATGGTAGAGACGGCAGACAGTTAAGAGCACTTGCTGCTCTTGCAGGGGACCTGGGTTCAGTCCCAGTACGCTTCTCAGATAGCTCACAGCTACCTGTAACTCCAGTTTCAGGGAGATCCGGTGTGCTCTGCTAGCCTCCTCAGTCACTGTACACATGTGGTGCACATGGATGTACTCAGGCAACCCCACCTACAACTAAAAGAAAAAGAAACCTTTAAAAACATAAATATAATTGCAGACAGCCAAAAGCCGATGTGGCAGCTTTTCTAAGCAATGTCAGGAGCAGAATACTCATCTCTCCACCTTAATATGATTGCAATTTGTGAAGAGGGAGTGGGTGTCCATTACTTTCCCCGTGGCTTGTCCTTAGCTCTTCTTAGCACAGCGCTGGGGGGTTGGGGAAAGCTCTCATTTACTGCACCAGTGTGGACAGAGGGGAAGTGACCCATTCCTCTGTCACCTCCACCTCTCTTCTGAAGCACAGCGCTCCTCTGGTTGATGGACAGCAACGGGCCACCTGTCCGTTCCCAATCCAATAAAGAAAGGGATTTGGGAGAAAAGCAAGAAGCCTTCCCGATGGGCTTGGAAAGTAATTGCACAGAAGAAACCTGTGTGCCTGTTTCAGGACACATTTGCATTTGCAAAAATCAAGAATTTGCAAAGGCATATTCCCGAGAAGACGTGTGAAACCACCCAATTAAAAGAGGAGATGGCGAAGACAAAAACCAAAACTGGTTATATAATTTCATTTAATTGAAAGAGGACCAAAAAAATACATCAAAGCTGTAAATCTGTGTTTCCCTGGGGTCTCGATGGAATGATTCAGCTTTTTTAAGTAAGTGGGTCAGAAAACTGCTAATCCTGTAATGATTTTATTCAACTGCTCTCAGCTGGTAGATGTATTTCTTGCAGATCTAAAATTATGAGTATGTTAAAATTGTCAAAGTTTGGTGTTATTCCAACATCACGCTGCTTGGTTTATCAGCCACGAATATAGTATTTCTTGCCTGATTGTCCTCTCATGGCTGACTAACTTGGTATAGGATCCTCCGGGTCTTCTTTTTAAATAGTAAAATGTGACGAGCTTGCTTGTGGCTTGGTTCTGAAATTCTGCCTTCTGTTTTGGACTACCCTGGTGTATGACATCATATCACAGTCTTACAGAATGACGTCCAACAGGACAAACCTGTTGCCCCACACTACGAAGATGGACTTTGCACCGATAGACTGGTTTTGTGGAAACAGATCAAGCTTAAAAACAGGCACAAGCTAGAGTTAGCATGGGAAAGGCACCTTCTTCTCCAGTTGTGGGAAAGTGCACATAACATAAAATCGACTGCCCTGGCCATTCTGTGTGCCATTCAGTGACGTTTACTATACTCAAGTCTCTGTGTAACCACCCACACCACCATCCACCACCACTATCCATCACCATCCACCACCATCCACCACCATCCACCCACACAACTTGTTATCTCATAGACTGAACTCTACAACTGCTGTGGGATGGTCTGTATGTCAAATGTGTTGCTGATTGGTCAATGAATAAATCACTGATTGGTCAGTGGCCAGGCAGGAAGTATAGGCGGGACTAACAGAGAGGAGAATTGAGAGAATAGGAAGCTGGGTGAGGGAGACACTGCCAGCCGCCATCAGGACAAGGAAGATGTAAAGTACCGGTAAGCCACAAGCCACGTGGCAAGGTATAGATTAATAGAAATGGATTAATTTAAGCTGTAAGAACAGTTAGCAAGAAGCCTGCCACGGCCATACAGTTTGTAACCAATATAAGTCTCTGTGTTTACTTGGTCGGGTCTGAGCGGCTGTGGGACTGGCAGGTGAGAGAGTTTGTCCTGACTGTGGGCCAGACAGGAAAACTCCAGCTACATACAACCATTAAACAGCAACCCCCCATTTTTCTGGTGTTTTCTTCTATGGCTCTCCACCTTTTTGCCTTGAGGCGGGGTCTCATTTTTTTTTAAACATTTGTTTATTCAGTGTGTGTGTGTGTGTGTGTGTGTGTGTGTGTGTGTGTGTAATGTGTGTTATGTATGATGTGTGTAACATGTGTGTTGTGTATAGTGTGTGTGATGTGTGTGTAATGTGTGTATATTGTGTATGTGCATGGGGTGTATATGGTTTGTTGCGTATATACACATCATGTGTGTGGAGGTCAGAAGGCAACTTTTTTGGAAGTCAGTTCTCTTCATCTACCATGTGGGTCTCAGGGATTAAATCTAAATCAGCAGGTTTTAATATTTATTTAATATGTACATGGTGTTCTGCCTACATGTATGCCCGCACGACAGAAGAGGGCACCAGATCTCATTCTAGGTGGTTGTGAGCCATTTTGAGATTGATGGGAATTGAACTCAGGACCTCTGGAAGAGCAGCCCGTGCTCTTAACCTCTGAGCCATCTCTCCAGTCCTATGTTTTATTTTTTAAAGTTCATTATTATTCTTATGGATGTGAGTGTGTTTTCCCAGTATGAGTTACCACATGCATGCTGAGCCTCTGAAGACTAGAAGAGGGCTTCAGATCCTCTGAGACTGGAGTTACAGAGAGTTGGTAGCTGCCATGTGGGTGCTGGTATCAAACCTGGGTCCTCTGAAAGAGGAGCACGCTCTAACCACTGAGCAATCTTGCCTGCCCACCAGTCCTGCTTTCTGTAGGAACTGACTAGGAATTGACTGCTCTTGTGCCCTCATGTAAGTAGAATAACACAGTTTGTCCTCCCATGGCTGACTTGTTTTACTTGGTTCAACAACCTCAAGCTTCATGCCATTCATATGGAAGTGAGAATTCCCTTTTCCTTGTGGATTTTGGTTTGTTTTCCTTTTTTATTATTTTAAAATTATTTCTTGGGTGGGCGGTGGTGGCGCACACCTTTAATCCCAGCACTCGGGAGGCAGAGTCAGGCGGATCTCTGTGAGTTCGAGGCCAGCCTGGTCTACAGAGCGAGATCCAGGACAGGCACCAAAACTACACAGACAAACCCTGTCTCGAACACCACAAAAAAATTATTTCTTTTATTTTTGAGATTATAATTACGTCATCATTTCCCCCTTCATTTTCCTCCCTCCAAGCCCTCCCATATATCCCTCCTTGCTCTGTTTCAAATTCATGACCTCTTTTCTCATTAATTGTTGTTATATACACATATATACAACATATAAATACATAAATACACACACATATAACATATAAATATATATATATTTTACACACACACACACACACACACACATATATACATATATCCTGCTCAGTTTGTATACTGTTACTTGCATGTAGGTTTTCAGGGCTGACCATTTGTTATTTGGTGATTGTTAGTTTATTTGTTTGTTGAGACAAAGTCTCAACATGTAACCTTGCCTGGCCTGGAGCTCCCAGAGATCTGCCTAACTCTGCCTCTGAGTTCTGGCACTAAAAGCAAACACCACCTCACCCGGCTCTTTTTCATTGTCGTGGTTTTGCACTTTTGTTTAAAGGCTGAATAATATTTCATTCTATCTATCTATCTCTCTCTCTCTCTCTCTCTCTCTCTCTCTCTCTCTCTCTCTATATATATATATATATATATATATATATATATATATATATATATATATATATATACCATGAGATGTTTGTCTTGCATCCTTTGCTAGACACTGGATTTTTTTTTTTTTGTTGTTGTTCTTGTTGTTATTTCAGATAGTATAGATATGAACAAGGGGGTACAAATACTATCCCAATGCCTGCTTCCAGTTCTTCCGGGCATATGCCCAGGATGGCTGGATCACACAAGAATTCTATATTACTCTATTACTCTATTACTGTGTGTGTGTGTGTGTGTGTGTGTGTGTGTGTGTGTGTGTGTGTGTGTGTGTGAGAGAGAGAGAGAGAGAGAGAGAGACAGAGAGACAGAGAGACAGAGAGACAGAGAGACAGGGAGTACTCCAGCAGGCCAGAAGAGGTTATTGAATCCCCCTGGAGCAGGAATTGACAGGCTGTTATGACCCACCTGAGGTAAGCACTGGGCCCTGAACTTTGGTCCTCTGCAAGAGGAGCATGTGCTTTTAAGCACTGAGCCATCCCTCCAGCCATTGGCTGTCCTCTTTCTGTGTTCCTTCCTCTGATGCTAAGCACTTCAGTGTTTCCTACCAAGGTGAGACAAAGCCAGCATCCCACAGGTTCTGAGCGCCGACTACCCAGCAGCTTCACTATAGTCGGTTCGAGAGACTTCCTGGTATCAGCGCCACCATGACCGTGATGCCTGTGGGAGTGTTTCTCTTCCTGAGATTTATTGTCTACATCCAAAGGCATCCTCTTCGACTGTTGATTGACAGGGAGGGACCAGTAGGGAACAACACAGTTAGGTAATACATTCTGTGTTCTCAACTATCCCATCTAAGAATTCTGGGCCCATGACAGAGAGTGCCTCTTCTTCTCCCCTCCCCTCCTCCTCTCTCCTTTTCGTCTCCTCCTCCCTCCTCCTCCTCCTCCTCCTCCTCCTCCTCCTCCTCCTCCCTCCCTCCCCTTCTTCCCGCTCTCCTATTGTCCTTCCTCTGTCTATTATCCCAGTTGGCCTTGAAGCCCTAGACTCAAGAGATCCTCTAGCCTCAGTCTACCAAGTACCCAGGACTACAGGTGCATGCCACCACGTCCAGCTGAGGTTCTGCTGTGGTGTGACCTCGAGGGCTGGGGTGAAGGCTAAGGAAATCTGAGGATAAACAAGAGGTATGGCTGTGGGCGAGTCGCTGAACAGTAAGGACCAAGCATTCCAGGATACAGGATGGTGAAAGAAAACACGAGATGGAGCTGGGCAGAGCAGAGGACAGAAAGCTGACTTTCTTCTTTTCTTTCTTTCTTTTTTTTTGCTGCAAAATCAGGCTGTGTCCAGAGACAGCTGAAGCAGGGTGTTAGACCACTCACCCTTACACTTGTAATTACATACCAGTACATGATGTCAGGACGAGCTGATGGTGGAGAACCCCTCGCTGTGGCTAAGCCATGAGTAAGTAGACCTCAGAAAGCAAATGTGAGTGATGGGAGGGGTAGATCGCACCGTGTTATTTCACCAGAGGTGGTGATCAAGGGCTCTCCACCTGCGCGGAGAGGTCCGATGACATGTAAAGAGTACTCTTTGAAAATGCTGGCTGCCAGCTCAAGTCTTTCATTGACTTAACTCAGTCTGGGTTGCTCTTAAGAGTTAGTTTTGGTGGGGGGGGGGGCCCCGCGCGGGTTGGTGGCTGGGGAGAGATAACTCAGTTAAGAACACTGATTGCTTTTCCAGAGGATCCAGGTTCTAATCTCAGTATCTCCTCAACAGTTCGTAAATATCTCTAACTCCAGTTCCAGGGGACCTAGAGGAAGATAAGGCCTATGAGGCCGAGAGATGAGCCAACCTGGAGTCTGCCTGAGGGCCTAGCAACAGGCGATGTCAGAGGTCCTGATCGTGCCTAGCCAATGAGGGGCAACCATGCAATGTCACTGGATCAGGATGCAGCCTGGGTGCTGGGAGGAGGGTATGTATATAAGGCTCTTCCCATTGCTGAATAAATGAGTCTGCTGTTTGCCTTTTACCTGACTTCCAGTGTCTGTGCTGTTGATGTCACGCCTTCTCACCCCCTTCCCTGAGGGAGCCGTTAGGACCCAACACCCTCCTTGGCATCCGTGGGCACCAGGCATGCATGTGGTGTATAGACATACATCCAGGCAAAACACATCGGTACACATAAAATAAAATAATACAATTTTTTAAACATTTAAAAAAATTAGTTGCCAGGTGGTGGTGGTGGTGCATGCCTTTAATCTCAACACATGGGAAGACAGAGACAGGTGGATCTTGTGAGTTCGAGGCCAGCCTGGTCTAACAGAGTGAGTTCCAAGACAGTCAGGACTATGCAAAGAAACCCTGTCTGGAAAAAACAAACAAGCAGAAAAATTAAAAAGAATTGGTTTGGTTGGCTGGGATGTGGCTTAAATAGGCTGATGTAAATATGGTTCTGGGGAGCATCCAAATGTGAATGAATGACAGGCAAATGAGCTTATCACTTACAGTTAACCATAAAAGCAAAACTTAATCTGGGTTAGCCGGATTTCACTTGCTCTGTTGGCTATTTACCTACCTACAGCCACAATAGCCGCAGGATCTTCCTGTGCCCTGCTGAACATTCAGGGCATTATGGCGGCAGTTTTTTTTGTTTTTTTTTTTTTGTTTTGTTTTTTTTGGTTTTTCGAGACAGGGTTTCTCTGTGTAGCTTTGTGCCTTTCCTGGAACTCACTTGGTAGCCCAGGCTGGCCTCGAACTCACAGAGATCCGCCTGACTCTGCCTCCCGAGTGCTGGGATTAAAGGTGTGCGCCACCACCGCCCGGCTGGCGGCAGTTTCTTTGGGACATCCAGAACCAGGGCCAGAAGGTTTGGTTTGACTATGGCACGTTTCGAAGGCTGCAGTGTGACATGGACGACAGCTGCTGGCTGATGAGACGACCCTGCAGGTGAGACCACTCCACTTGCTGTCGGAGCCTCATAACCTAAGTGCAGTCCCTGGAACTCGGGTAAAGGTGGAAGGAAGGAGCTGACACCTTGCTGTCCTCCGACCTCCACACGTGCACAGTATTGTGTATGCACACCCCCTCCACCCCACATACACACAGAGCAATAAAATTAAAACACGAGAAAACAGCTCCCGGGCTGGAAAGATGGCTCAGCATGTAAGAGTACTTCCTGTTCTTTCAGAAGAACATGGAGTGGTTCACAACCTCATGTAATGCTCTTTAGCTTCAGGCACCTGTCACCCTCTTCCGGCCTCTGTGGACAACTGCATCCATACGCACTCATGTGCACACATTGTACACAGAAATAAATTATAATAGTATATAATTCATTTATATAATACTATTTACATATAATACTATTTACAATAATTTATATATTTATAATATATTAATTATTTGTAATTAATTATGAATAATTAATAATATATTGATTCTTTATAATTAATATAGTAATATATTTATAATGTTAATAATTTATAATATATATTAAAGACAGCTGAAACAAATTTTGCCCATAAGAAACAAAGCCATGGCCATCTCCTAAAGATAGAGAAACTTTGCTATGTTGATTCCAACTGGAAAAGATTAAAAAATACTCTGCCCACACAGGTCTCAGCCATCAATCTTACATTCATTTCTCTCTTGACATCCTGGGTAACCAGGGCCCTGTTATAGGAAGTTACAGATGTAAGAGCCAAAGGCAAAGGACTGGGAAAAAAATTATCAAGGAAGTAACTCGAGTAGGGGGCTGGATAGGATATGTATAAGCTGGCAAGTTTTTACAGAGTCTAAAACTCAAAACTTGTGTACTCAGTGTTCCTCGCTTTTCTTACTTTTGGTATTTTCTTTGTTTACTGGTGAATTTCCTTTTGAAAATTACAGACAATCTCATTTTTGCTAGAGGCAACAGGGAGATTGAATTTCATGACTGATTCTAGGCAGTGTTTGCAAGGAGAGATGTGCTGGCCTTTGCTTGCTGGGGGATTTCTTTATCTGTTCAAATGAACATTGTCAAATCACTAAAGATGCAGAGTTGCAGTAGGAAACGCCACACAGAGCTGCTGTCACAAGAATGAAAAATGTCAGCAATTTTGGCATCCTAAGAATTGAAATGTAGCCAGGTGTGGCTGTCCACACCTTTAAGCCAAGTACTTGGGAGGCAGAAACAGGAGGATTGCTGTGCATTTGAGGCCAGCCTTGTCTACATCGAGAGTTCCTGACCAGCCAGGGTTACGTGGTAACACCCTGTCTCAAAACAAAACAAAAAACAGATCTATAATGACACAATCTTTAGGCCAATCAGCTTCTTCATCACACTGTACCAGGGTGGGGGGGCACTGAAAACATTTCTTCTAAAGTCAGGAACCAAGCGAGGGTGTGCGCTCTCTCTACTCTTACTCAGTATAATGATTTAATTCCCACACCAAAGCAATAAGACGGGAGAACAAATAAAGAGTCAAGAGTAGGGGGGTAAGAAGCTAGAACATTCCTTACATAGATGAGAAGGTTCTGTACTTCAAAGACTCCACCAGAAAACATGGAGAGATCTCATAAACATTTTCTGCGAAGTAGGGGGTTACAAAATCAACTTCTAAAAACCACTAGTTTTGCAGGGTGGTGATGCTACACACACACACACACACACACACACACACACACACACACACACACACCGCTCATAAAACCAAACAGCAAAGGAAGAACAAACGGCTAATACTGAATGAATCGAGGACATGTCTGCTCCAAGGCGTGGTTGAGGAGAGGGTTTTATGGTAGATATGAGGGAGAGCACAGTCAGACGTGCCTGGAGGAGTCCAGAGCAGGGAGAGAGAGCAGTGGACTAAACATGGCCAGTAGACTGAACCAGGGCATAAGAGGAGAGAGAGAGGAAGAGAAGAGAGAGAGCAAAGGAGACCTAGAAAGAGGATAGAGATGGAAAGAGCAAAGAGCGAGAGGACAAGCAAACCAAGATGGCAGAGAAAGTACCTGGCTGAAATGAGGAATGAGAAGCCCTCTGGTATGCTAACAGGTACCACAGTTGGCCATTTGCCCCAGTTTCTTTGGGACCTGATGAATACATACCTGAAAAAAAATGTTTGGCTTCCCTAGACATCAGAAAAATACAAATCATAACTACTCCAAGATTCCACCTCACCCAAGCCATAATAGCTCTCATCAGGAAAACAATCACTCTATGGTGGTAGCACACACCTTTAACACACACCTCCCAACATTCAGGGAGGGGGGGTAGAAGCAGGCAGATCTCTGTGAGTTCAAGGCCTGGTCTACACAGTGAGTTCCAGGACAGCCAGAGCTACACAGAGAAACCCTGTCTCAAAAAACAAAACAAACAAAAAAGAAACCTAAAACCTCCATGTGAGAGTCTCCTTAAGTATTACACCTCCAACATCCCCTCCCAGTAAAGCAGACTTAAAGAGTTCCAGATATGGGGCCAAAACATACAGATTTTCACCGTATTTCTCAACTGTTTAATCTTCTGGGGCTTGAAGTCAGTTGTCACTGTGAGCAGATCCTCATGTCAGCTGTCAGTCACTGTGAGCAGATCCTCCATGTCAGCTGTCAGTCACTGTGAGCAGATCTCCTGCTCTTTTTCCACCTGAAATTAAATGACAAGCCAAAAAAAAAAATGAGTTAAAGGTCAACATGAGCAATTAAGGAAACCCTGTTTTATTTTTTAAAGGAAAGGGAGAGAGAGAAATAAGCAAAAATGGAGCTCGGGCTGTGACTTGGTGGTAGACCACTCAACTACTGTGGGTGAGGCCCTAGGTTCCGTTCCTAGTACCAGAAAAATAAATAAAATACATAACTGACAAGTGCTGGCAAGGATGCAGGAGAAAAACGAATGCTTACACACTGGAATGTAAGGGATTCCAGCCACTGTGGGAATTATCACAGAGATTCCTCCAAAAAACTGAACATAGAACAGTAATATTCAGCCATAACACTCCTGGATTTATCCCTGAAGACATCAAGAGCCACCATACTGTAGAGATGGCCACACATACCCACAGCCCTACTCACAATAGCCAAGTTATAGAATCAGCCCAAGCACCCATTAATGGATGAGTCAAAAAAAAAAAATACAAGCTGGGCAGCGGTGGCGCATGCCTTTAATCCTAGCACTCAGGAGACAGAGGCAGGCAGATCTCAGTGAGTTCGAGGCCAGCCTGGGCTACAGAATGAGTTCCAGGACAACCAGGGCTACACAGAGAAACCCTGTCTCGAAAAAACAAAACAAGAGAGAGCCAGCCTATAAGCACAGGCAAGTCCCTATGTTGGATCCCCAGCACTAGAGAAAAAAGGCATGTGAGTGGATGCCAGCTATCAGGAAAGAGATGCTGAGCAGGAAGGAGGAAGCACCAGTGAGAGCAGGAGAGTGAATTAGGTCCCTTCCTGTTGCTGTGATGAAAGTGTAGTCAAGTGTTCCTGGAGTTGTATCCATGCCAGTGGATGTCCACACGCTCCAGAAGAGAATTTGACATCGCTGCTGCTGTTGTTGCTGTTATAGCAGTGGCGGCCACTGCTGCTACTGTTTCTGGGACTACCATTTCATAATTGGTTACTACAGCTAGCACAGTGGAGACCCTGGCAGCAAAGGTAGCTACCACGGTTAGTTAATTTTTCATTCTATTGGGCATGATAAATTTAATTCAATAGTTATATACATTTTGATTGGCTTTGAAAATTATAAATTTATAAACTCAAGTTCCATTTGCTTTTGATATACCATCTTACAAGGACTCCAATTTGCACTAAGGCTCGTTAAGGAAGGGAATGGCTCAGTTGTCTTTAGCCTACTGGCTATGGGTGGGTTAGGACTTCTGTTGGTCTTTTCTGTGTCAAACACACAGATTGCAAGCCCAGCACCACTTTGAGATCTTTGGCAGCAGTTAACTCTGCCTCTCACACATGATTGAGCCTGTATGGTAATGAGTATTCAGAGATGGGTAATGCCTGGGGTACGCTCACCAACACCAACCTAAGACAGAGCACCTGTGTGGCCTGGG